GCACGATAGTTTTTATTGATCGCAAACAGAATTTTTGCTCCAACAATCAATTCGAAAATGATTTTTTAGGATGCCAAGTTTATATTTTGTCGGCATAATGTAGTCATAGGTAAACAAAAATTGGATTGCTTTTCCGTTTCTCAAAATAAATGTTTTCAAAATGCACCGCTTCTGGGTACTTCAGAAAAGTATGGCTAAATGTTAACAATCGTTTTGAATTGAAAACAGCAATTACATGCATCTCTTTTCTTTTCCTCTATCCCCTATGGTAGCTACTAACGATATCCACAGTAAATAATGAATAGTTTACCAAGCCTATGAGAACTTTTCACATAATAACAAATCTACCAATATACATGAGGTTGTTAAAGGGAGCTTGCGTAAATTGTGATTCAAAAGTGACCAGACTACGGTAAGAGACACATTGTATGGCAATCTTTGGTAAAACATACATTTTTTCAGAACCCGACGAGGAAGAAAAGTTATAATTGAAAACTTGTCTGCAAACTTTTTTTTCAAAAGTATTGTAACCTGATGAAATTGAAGCGATAACCGCTACTAGTAATTAATTGCAGCAGTTGCTTATTCAGTGGTCTTTTGTTTATACTTCAGTTCTCCTCGCCTATCGGTGCATATTAAAAGATATTCAGCACAAGTAAGTTTATAAAAAAACGAAAAAATAACAAATTTTTACACATGTCAAGCGGCGCTTTGCATCACATGCAATACATCACAAAAGAAAAACAAAAAAAACGAACAATACTGAAAAAAATAGGTCTATTAAAACTTTCGTTTGTCTGGATAAAATTTGAATCTTTGCAAACATGCCAAGCGAAATTTTTGAGTTTTCAATTAGCAACGGATGAAAACTGACGAAGCGAAAACAAAGCCAACCATTTTTAAGCAGACACCAGATGAGCCGAAAAAAAAAATTTTTTTTTAAAAGTTTCAAATTTCCTAGAAAATTAACACTTGCTACTATAATGAACATAACCAACCGACATTTGGAAAAGAGAAATGAACGCAAAAAAAAAAACAAAAAAAAATGACTTGTGTTTTGATAAAGTCTCAATTTTCAATTTTGAAGAAAAAAAAGATGGTTGTAAATTCTGCGAATTTATAATTAGCCCTTTTTTGATAAAACTAACCCGAAACGAGAAAACTGGATCCTTGGGTAAAGGTTTTGTTCCGCTGGGAAAACTGATAATTAAATTCCATTCTCATAATTAGAAGTCGATGACGTTTTTTGCGATTTTTACCTTGGATCCGGAAGTTGGCCTGCATTCCATTTTTACCAAAAAAAATGAACTTAACTAAATAAAATTTAAAGTCAAACCACGAAAAAGTAATTTTAAGCCTAACCAAATCTTCGGACTTTTTCCCGAAAATAAAAACCAAAAAACAATTCATCGCGAAAACATATTTATACGAGTCTGAACTACGTTTTTCGAATTGGAAAAACTGATATGGTCTTGGATCCGAGCGCTTGATCCTTTGCGACAAAGCCCGCTCCTTGCCACCACACTACTGGACCCAAATTTTCCTTAAATTTACCTTCATTAAAAAATAAAAAAGCAAGCTATCAAATGATTCAAGTGATTCTGTTAAACTAATTGTTAAATACATAAAAGTCAATATTTCAGTTTGATAACGCTTGCTTATCGTAAGTGTAATTATCACAAGCGTAGAAGACTTAATATATCAAAAAAAATTATAAAACAAGTGGATCAAAAAATCTATTGGTCAACAAAAACGTATTAAACAATTTTCAAGCCAGCAAACTTTTCTGCAATTAAGCAAAAATAGACAGAAATAAAAAGCAAAATAAACAACAAAAAATCAGTACCGGTTTTACAAATAGTCAGGAACGATGCTTCAAAAAACCGACAACAAAGATTCATCTACACCAAAAAAGACTTTTTAGAAAAAAAAGGAAATTTATTGAAAAATCGTCAGAAATTTATAAACAGAAAAAAAATTCAGCAAAAAAATAAATTCGAAATCAGTCGTCATAAACCTTATACAATTTTTGATCTAGTCAAATTAAACCCAGTGAGCAAAAAAGATTATTTTGATCTGGGCTGACACGCATAGACCGAAAATGCTAATTATACAATTTCATGAGATTCTATTAAATTGCTAATCAGACAATTTTCATACATTATTGCTGAATTAGTGTAGAAAACTTTAAAACCTTTTTTTCAACAAATTTTGGTGTATCATCATAAAAAAAACTTGATAAGCAAAAAGAGCTTATCATACAAATGCTTATCATGGTGTGTCTAGCATTTTTTTGATTGCGTCTCCAAAGTTTACAAAAGAGTTTTAGAATCGCACGATAGTTTTTATTGATCGCAAACAGAATTTTGCTCCAACAATCAATTCGAAAATGATTTTTTAGGATGCCAAGTTTATATTTTGTCGGCATATTGTAGTCATAGGTAAACAAAAATTGGATTGTTTTTCCGTTTCTCAAAATAAATGTTTTCAAAATGCACCAAAAGCGTATTTTTGTATTGCATAATTTTGTGTGCTTTGAGCAATGCAAAATCAATTAAAGTTTTAAATTCGAACAAAACTGCTCGTATCAGAGTGAAGCCTTGAATGTTCCGACTGCCTTTTAGGGTCTATGAAACAGTAATAACATTAAAAAATTAAATGAAATAAAACAAAATGAAAAAAAAATTTTCTGAAATTTGAAATACTTCTAAAAAATCACCCCCCCACACGCCATATTAAGAACAAAAGGATAAATTTCGTTCTTTGTAAGTTTCGCTCTTTGCAATAATTCACTTATCGCAAATAAGCGTCTTTCAACCAATTTGGAACGATTTCTAAGACGGATTTAATCTCCGCTTACGCGTTAATAGCGCGAAATATATCGCGCGTTAATTGTCCCAAATTGGCCGAAATGGCAATCTTTAAACCCCTGTAACTTTACAAAAAAGATCACAGGTGAAATATCTTTTCAAATATTCAAATTTGAGCTCAGGACAACAATACCTTTCGAATGATATAGAAAAAATTCCGTCAAAAATGGCTAGTTAAAAATTCGAAGTTTGTCTGAAGAAAAAAAAACCCCTACCCGAGCACAAATATTCCGTTACTTTCGTATCAAAAGTCGGAACTAAAACAGCAATTTAAGCAATTTTTGCTGAGCGTTACGAATTTGCTACTTTCATTAAATTGTATTTAAATGACATCTAGTATCAAACTGTTTCCAGTGCATTGTACATGCAAGACGCTACGCTTTTGGTGACTCTAGTTCTGAGTCACCAGAGTCTTTGTCACTTGTGTGAGTGTAAACAGAGCCCACAGTTGTTGAAAAGAAAACAAATTAAAGAAACTGCTAATCATTAAAAGATTCGTGCAATTTTTTGTACTATAGGAATTGTATAAAAAGTGTATGATTAGCTTTTTTCCATAGATGAAAATTGTATAAATTGCATTTTTGTTCAACCCCACGTTTTTGAACAAAAACAGACTTAAAGAACCAGCAAAACAAAGATAAAGATCATTAAATTGAGCCACTGCAAACAAGAACTTATTACGGAAGCCAGGCATAATTGATTGAGGCCGAAAAGTTGAAAACAATAAACAAATTCGAAAATTCTCTTATGCAATCTTCTAATCAATTCGAACTTTTTTTTGGCTCACCAAGAAAATGACAAAAAGATCTGAAAGAAGTTTTGGAAGTCAGTTGCTTTCTCCATGAAGTTGCTTTCTCCAAAATTATGATTATACAGAAACTAAATCGACAAAAAACAAGCACACAGATTATATTCCAAAAAAGCGGAGATTTTCCGAGAAATAACAAACAGAACTCAACCGGAATCTAACCTCATGACTCTTGCCGCCTTATACATGGGTTGTAAATTTGCGTTTAATGCACAGAAAGAGTTTGAGGTTAAGTCTTACACAAATCGGTCCTTTTTTACCCTCCTCAAACAATTGATTTTCAACTTAGAAAAGCTTTTTCAACTCAGTCACAATTCATTGAAACGTTGTCTCCAGTTACCCACCCCCTCGTAGAATTCTAAAACAAAACTATTCAAAAATTGCTCGCAAAAAAGTTGTAAAAACAAGTTCATCTGTTCACACTGACACGTTTTCATGCAGTTCATAACATGAAAAATATTATTAAATATGAACAAGACTGCTTGTACCAGGGCAAAGCCCTGAATGTTCCGACTGCCTTTTAAGGTTTATGGAGCAGTAAAAACATTAAAAAGTTAAATGTAAAAAAAATGAAAAAATTTTTTTTCTCTAAAATTTGAAGTTTTTTTTGAAAATCATCCCCCCACACGCCATATAAAGTACAAAAGGATAGATTTCGTTCCTTGTAACAAATCAATTATGGTAAATAAGCTTCTTTCAACCAATTTGGAACGATTTCTAAGACGGATTAACTCTCCACTTACGCGTTAATAGCGCGAAATATATCGCGCGTTAATTGTCCCAAATTGGTCAAAATGCCAATCATTAAACCCCCATAACTTTACGAAAAATGATCACAGGTGAAGTATCTTTTCAAATTTGAGCTCAGGACAACAATACCTTTCGAATGATATAAAAAAATCTCGTCAAAAATGGTTAGTTAAAAAGTCGATATTTGTCTGAAGAAAAAAAACCCACCCCGAGCACAAATATTCCGTTACTTTTGTATCGAAAGTCGGAACAACAATTGAATTGCAAAAGAAATCAGGGAGTGGGACTGGAAAAGAGTCGAAATTATGCATGGTGATCAAGTTGACTATTGTGAACAGATTTGTTCTTCAAACATTATAGCGTTGCATCACGCATTTAACCATAACATTAGAGAAAAAACAACAACTATGAAAATGGAAATAGTGGGGGAAGTTGAAAAAAGCCTATAAAACAAGATGAAACAAGTGTAAACTCTCACGTATGAATTCTGTAATTAAAATTTATAAATGGAAAAGTCCAGTCGCCGATTGCAATACCCTTGATAATGGCAATGGTAATGGGATCAAACTAGCCTCATTCAGCTGGCAGTGGTGAGTGGGGGTGGTGGGGAAGGTGTGGGTGCTGAAGATGAAGTTCCCAAATGAACTCTTCCCCACCCCTGCTTTGCCCAGTAAAACTATGTTGATGCACTTGGTAGAGTTGAACGAACAGGTGGAACCGTACCTACAGAAACAGTTATACGTGTCAGTAGAATTGTTTTTTTTTGCAGTCTAAGTTTCATAATTATAGTAATTAATATTATTTCATTTTCACTGGATATAGCAAAACTTGATAACTCCAGAAAAAAACGGCGCACAATTCACGTGGAAACAATGTGATCCAAAACATGGGCTCATGAGTTAATTGTAACCTGGACTTAAGCCTTCGTTTCTTAAAAATGGGGTCAGAATTTGAGAAACAATGAAAAATGCATGAATAACCAAAACTCATCGATAAGAATCCTTAAAAACCTTAGCTGTTTCTATTAAGTTAAAGTCAGCTAAAACTGATTTAATCCAAATGAAACGCAAGAGCTGCTTTTACAAAAAAAAGTATTTAAATATGCAAATGACCATGATTAAAACTGAACACTGTCCGAGTGGACGAATAACAGGTGTGAAATGTTACCTGGTGGAAGCAGTGGAGGAAGAACTGCCTCTGCCTCCTTTTCTTATCCCCTCCGCTGTAGCCCCTCTCCCCCTCCGAGAAGAAGTCTCAGTTGCATTTGAACAGGAAGATGACGCCACACTGCTGGTGTCGTTGTGCTGTTCATTGTCAGACAGGGCGACCGAACTTCGCCCCTGATGACCGTCGCCGCCACTACCATTACTCACAGCACGCTCCATGTCGCCCTTGTTTGCAGGTCACCAATAGCTTTTTCAAACTGAGCTTAAATTTTGAGTTTTTGGAAAGAATTTGAGTTTTGAAGAATACGAGAAGATTTTTTCGTTTCTAAAATGTTTCTGAAGAAAAGTTTTTTAAGCAAATTTGAAGTGATTGTGATTGTTACTAGTAACTTTTTATAAATTAAAATATTTGATTTGTTAAAATTGCAAGATTTAAAAAGCAGCCTACAATGTAGTAATCAATATTACTAGAGAAATTGAAACCGACAATGGATCTCTGAATGATACTAAAATTATATTAAAAGCCAGTGAAGTGGCACATCTTTTTATTAATAAATTTCATTGTTCCCGAAGTAGTTATTTCCCCTGGAAAACTACTTTTTGCTCCTGCTCGTAGCATTTTCATCATAATCACCAGCAACAAAAAGGCAGGGACAGCAGCGGCGGATTCAAAATTTTCTTAAGGGGGTGGGGCTGATTTTCAAAAAAAAATCGAAAATTTTGATGATTTGTTTAGGTCGACAAAATTGATTTTCAGACCTTTCACATATCACTACAAAATCAAGAATTTCATGGGCTCTTTTTCCTTTTCCACCCACCTGCAAATTTTTATATTTGAAGTTACTGTTCACTTTGTCCGATTATCATGAAAATTGCCATGCAGACTGATTAGGCCATGACAAACATATTTGGTCTTCATAATTAACCTTGTAAAACAACTCGTTAGACCATAAAAATCATGTTTGAGTGAGGTGGGGGAGGGGGAAAGGAAAATGAGCCCTCTATTTTTAACGCAAGAATTTTTTGAAAAAGAAACAGGCCAAAAACAAGTGTTTTCAGGTACCTTTTGAAAAGTTTTGACCAAAAATTTGCGTTTTTTTCGTTGCGCGCTCACTCTCAAAATCTGTACATTTTGGCGTCGAAGGAACTTTTTAATAAAAATTTTAGGGCCAGGCAGCCAAAAATGGATATCTCAAAATAGTACAAATGGGCGACCCTTTGGTTCGGCAGGGGGTCGAATCCCAGGGGGATGGGGGCAACCGCTACTGAGGGTCAGAAATTTTAAAGGAGCCAGTACCATGTTTTCCGAAAGGATTTCAAATGACGCCCTCTCATTTATCTCACAGAAAAGTCGTACAGCAGAGAGCGAACAATTTCAAAGCAGGCTAACCATAGCAGGGATTTGAGTTATGTACGATTGACTGTACTCATAGAGTAATTTCAGATAAGGTACACCGTCTGCTCGTCACGCTATCTTATTTTCGGCCGGATAGATTAGTGCAACTTCTTAGTCTATCACCGATCTTAATCTTAATCTCATATCTCCTAGTCTCAATAGATCTAGTGTATACTGGTTTATGCGAGTTAGTTTCCAGAAGGAGAACACCTGTTATTTAGTTTAATTCAAATTGCTCTGGTGCTGAAACTACAAGTAGTTTCAGCACTTACAAATAAGTGTTGTGTTAGTTATGGAATATGATTGGTTAGTTGAGAATATTTTATAGAATTAGAGAATTATAATTATAACCGACTATAAATTCTAGTTTAGAACTGGTTCCACCCATCCGGGGCTTAGAGAGTTTTTAGTTTTTTATTGGTTTAAAATGTAGTGAAGGACGGGTGATGTAGGTTCTTTTAGAAGTTGCGAGCATTGGTTTCTCGGGGGAAGAAGAAGTGTGGCTGTTGATGTTTGACGGGTGAAGATTGTCATGTTTGTATTTGTAGATGGGTCTCGTTGATCGTGGTAGTCTTGTGTGATTGTGTCAAGACTTCTGATCGATGAAATGATGTATCGATTTCGTTAAGTTTGGAGCGAGACTGCATGCATGGCGAAGTCTGACTTTTCCGGGTGAAGTGCCAAGTGACTAGGATCTGTACGTGTATTCAACATCGATATGGCCATTGATCTGGTTCAATGGTTTTCCTTTGCTGCGACGTTGGGTCCATACTTTAAATCCTTTGAGGTAGTGACTTTAGGCAGCAAATCAAATAGATTTGCCATTCCGAAGTTGGAATGTGATTGGGTTGTCGTCTCCTTTGCTGCTCGTCTTTTGGGCTTTACGAAATCTATACATACTGCATTTATCTTTTACATATATGAATTGCTTTGTTAATTTTAGTTTCAGTTTTGATTTTTTCTTAATAGTTAACGTAAAAGCGTTTTAATAATGGTTAGGTTATTTTTAAAGAGTCACCCACCCTAGCGCAACTATTGGCAAAAATAGAGTGTGGGTCACAAAGCGTGATGTAGCGCGGTGAGTTAGGCCGGCTATAGAGCATGCTCAGGACGTCCCTCTGGTTGGTGAGGCCAGGAGTGGTGTATAACTTTGAGGTTTCATTGTGCAGAGTCTCTTTTTGTGTTCAACCTTTTGTTTCGTTTTTATTACCTCTTTTTTTTCTCATTTTGTTTTGGTTGTGTCATTTTCTCAAAAATCTAGTTTAGTTTGGTTTGGTTTTGTCTTTCGATTTTTTTGTGTTTTATTCGATTGTGGTAAGACTTGAAAGTGGTCTTCAAAAGAATAATGTATCCAGTTTTAATCTGGTTTTAGTGTGGTTTGGGTACCGCGGGCTTTTCTTTCTCAGTCATGCTATTAGTTTGTAATTTTGTGACGTTAGTAAGCTGCGTTGGTGTTTGTAGTTTACTATACAATTCCTTTCAACCGGGTTAAAGGAAAGTTTGAAATTTGTGAAAACTTTTTAGAGTTGTTATCAGTGAAATTTAAAATTTAAAACTCATTTTTTAAACAATTCTTCGTGGGCGAGGTGTGCGATTGTGGAAAGAAATTATGGGCGAGTGAATGAGTAAAATTTTATAAAAGAAGCGTCATGTAAAAAGGTTAGTGCTTGAAAGTATTTATCTGCGATTTTTGTGAATTTACTGCGTTGAAATATAACTTTACTGCTTTTGGGGAAGTTTTCAATTGTTGATTTTACTGCTTGGTAAAACGAAATTTATTACATTGGGGATCAAATATTTACTTACTGCTATTTGTGAGAAATTTTACTGCGATTTGTCAATACGAGTTTTGAATTTTTAAGAAAGAAGTTTTCAATTTTTTATTTGTTTTTGTTTGGTTTAGATGATGGTGTGATGAGATCTAAAAGGAAGTGAAACATTTATAAAGAATGAATAGTTGTGTTTGAGTTTTATAGTGTAGAATAATTAAATATACTTACCTAATCATCAGCAAAAAATCCATTTGGAAAAATATCGTGAATGACATTTGATGTTGTTAGAAGTTTAACAAGTAAGCGGGTGATATATTTAGTTTGTAGTAGTGGCCAAAGCAATTCAAGTGCTTTGATGATCTTGTGCTCTTCACTACTTGGTGAGAATTCATGCGGTGTGATTCCGATCAGATTATGAATCTGATGATTTTATTTGATGCTATGTATGTATTCTAGGGGTGGGATTTTAACGTACATGTATATATACACGGACTGTATATATTTGTGAGGGAAAATTAGTGGACTGGATTCATCAACAATAAAAGTTCGGGTTATTGGGCAGAATGTATACATTTGTCTGATAGGATCGTAGTTTCTAAGGATTCCTTGCATGTTAGTGTCTTTGATACAATATGTGAAGTTTAAGAAAAATGGTGAATTGTATTTGGAGTTAATAAATTGAAATCGATGGTAAGGGTTTAGTGATGGTGTATTAGTTGTGTAATGATGTTGTATGAATTTATAGTCAGTGTATGTGTGAGTTTGTTTTTTTTTGCGTAACATAATTTGATGTGAGCAGTGTAAGTCAAATTCTTTGGGTGTTAGGAAATTAAAGGTTAATGAGAAGTGGTTAATTTTACTGAAATAAGAGTCGTAAGCTTTTGTGTCTCGAAGTGCTGCGGATATAATGTGGTCATATTTTTTATTCATGCAGTTGATAGTAAATACATATGAAGTTTTGATGAAAAATTTCTAAGTTAGTTGGGGGTAAGCGTTAGTATCGTCATTTGAAAAGATATCTTCATTGGGTCGTGCAATGACGTGATCACAATGGTTAATTGAAAATCAATTCGCTTTTTGTGCAGTGAATCTTTTTAGTGTTTGGTTTAATCCGATAATATGTACTGTTTTTTGTGTAATGCTGTAGTGAAATGATATAGCCTAGTTTGACATAATTCATTGTCATCTGAATTATTATTTAGTTGAAGTGGTAGTATGAGGTCCATGAAATAGTGGGAAATATTGCGTTTTCGTTAACATAATTTGGTTGGTCGTTGTTAGGATTTGAGTGGTACTAAGTAAATTTTGGAAAAAATGGCAAGCCTACTTGGAGAAATTTTTTTGTGTTTGTATGAAGTGGATGACCCAGTAAGGTCTGAGCTGGTCGAGGGTTAACAGTGAATGGAGTACTCGGGAATTTTCGTTTAAATACTCGGTGGGTTCGGGTTTCTCCAGTAGTGGATGGGGAGTTGGAGGATTCTGAGGATGTCATGGTCTGTGAGAGCTGATGAATGGTTAGTGTGTTAGTGTGTTGTAGTTGTTGTTGAAGGGTTATAAAGTTATCTATTTCGTTTTCAAGTTCAGTATCGACGGAGCTAGAGTGGTCAGGTGGGTCGCTGGTCACTGGGTAGTAGATTGGGGTTGCATCAGTGTAGCATCAGTGGGGTTGCATCAGTGATTTGGGAATGGATGGGTTGAGAAAAGGTGGATGGGCTAGGTTCGGTGTCTGCAAATTCATCGGGGGTTTCGATATCAGAGTTATTAAATTGTGAAATGGTGTGAAAAACTGAGTTCATTTAATAAATGTTTGAATCCATGCTTGGTGAATTGTTAGTATATAACGGTTCAAGGTAGGGACCACTTAGTGGTAAGACTTCGGAGTGACGTTGGAGGTTAGATGGGTATGAAAGGGAACGGTTGAGGGATCCAAACTGGCGGCTCATCGTGGGCCAAAAAGAAGGTTGTTCTGAGAACGGAAGTTAGTGGTATGTGGTTGTTCTATAATCTGTTCATACGTCTCGTCTACAGTTGGTTGTTGTTGTAAAATGTGGGTAACTGGCTTTTGTGGGTATCTATGATTTGTTGAGATGTGCTCTGTTAGATATATGTTTCGGTAATTTCGTGATACTAAAGATAATGGATGGTATTTTGTAATGTATGTAATTGTGGTGCAGTAGGTGTCTTGTGAATAATCAAATGTATTGGGTGCAGCTGATAGTTTTTTTTATTGTATTCACTTATTTGAGCGTCTAAAAGTATTTTGTTAATTGTGGTTTAAAATATTCCGAAAAAACCTGCGAAAAGTATGCGTGCTACACTTGCTTGTTTGCTTACTTGTA